TTATTAATACGTGTTTAGAATTTAAACTAGCCAAGTTTATTTATTGGCATAATTACATTTACACAATTATAGCCTATGAATAGTATTATGTATTAGATATAGGTATAACTGATTAATAATATTTTAGCCAATTTATAAAATATGTGAAAATTACAAAAAATTGTTACGTAAAAGTCTTAAATAAGTAATTAAAATATAATATTTAAATTGTATGATTTAATTTTTATTGCAATTTCTTATAAATTATCGTTATAGATATTTTATACAACCAAATGGACATACATTTATAAATTAATATGTTTGTTAAATGTAACGCATAAAATTTGTTTTTCACATTCATAACATGTTTGGCGCTAATACAAATCAGTAATCACATATCTTGGTGATACTCAAATAGTTTGCAGGTAACTATAAAAATACTTTTAGTTTGCTGTTGTTTACTATATTATAAACAACACACATCAGTATGATTGCCTAAGTTAAAATTGAATACCGTCATAATAATATGATAGTTTTATATTTAAAAGACTATATAATGTGAACAATGTGGTTTTCCTATTTTTTGTGCATGATAATTTTTAATTTATAAAATTCAAATTATACTGTCTTTTATATAAAATCTATTGGCTATCTATACAACTATAATATTTTAATATTACATTAGTCTCATCGACATTGAGACTTTGAGTACAAACGTTTTTTTTAAACTTTATTTTTCATAAACATAATTTCTTGCATATAATACGTTTCGACCTCAGAATAATATGAAATAAGTATCTTATATTATATATATAATGTGTTTATGTAGAACTGTAGAAAGATATAAATATTATTATGTTAATATTACCTACGTATTTATTGTATGTTTATCAAAAATCGAAGGTTTTGACCTTGAAGAAAAAAAGCACCTACAGTTCATAATAGAAATTCTACTAGTTAAGATAATTTTGTGTTTTATATTTTATTTTGCAGTTTTCATTAATTCAGATAATATAACGTAATATGCAATATAATGTAGAATAAATGTTATTAAAGATAACCATATAAATTGAGATTTAAAAGAAATAATAGGTTTGATAGATAGTGATATTTTAGTACGGAACTAAATTAGGAATATTATTATGTTAACAAAGAACGGTAGGTTTTTTATTATACGTATATTAAATTATATTTTTACACAAAAAAAAAATAATAGTGTTTAGCAGAGATAAAATTTACAAATCAGCTTTATCTAGTAAACACAGTTATTATTGTTTAAGTAGTTGGCCGAGTCAGGTCAAACTATATTACCAATATGACCGTTTTCACTGCAAGTCATATATAAATCAAACGATTTTAAAGCCTGAAGTTATTTATTTTAATAATTTTAATTTTAATTTTTTTAAATTGAAATTATTTTATTAATCATATCAAAGATATGTATAGTAAATTGTTAGTGTTAAAATCTCTGGGGATCAGAAATTTAAAACATAGTTTTATTCTTTAGTTTGTCCATTAATTGTCATAATATAACAAATAACACGCAATTGAATATCAATTATGACCACATTTCCTAAACAGTTACAGTTAATTTTTATGTAGATATATTGTCACTAATCGGAACAACGTATTTTGTGATTTTTATTATTGTAACATAGAATACTTATGATTCAAACCATAAACTAGTAATAAAATGATAAAACTGTATATTTTGGATTGGATATTATTAATTTAATGTGAAAATTAAATTTATAACTGATTCACTGATTAGATTAATACCTTATTACAGCCTTTATTAATGTAGTCAATACTAGTTTGTAACTGGTAACTTGTAAGAAATAAATATTTATTCAGTCCTTGATAGGTTCTTCTGAAGTGTTCACTGTATATTGTATATTTATTTGTATGGTACATATGTTATACTCGTAGTAATAAAAATACGATTACTTTGGTTATGCATTTCTGATTAATGAAGACGTTTTTTAATACATCAGATCATTGATTTAAAATTTGATATTATCTACAATATATTTTCTTGTATATTGTTTGAGTGTTTAACGTATAGAGTCTGTATATATATATATATATTTTATTTTTTGTTTATGTTATATTATTACGTATAAAAATAATTATTGACCTTTGTAAACCTTTGCTAAACATGATGATGCAAATTGAGTTAGTTGATTATATTGTTAATGTTAACTTTAACGTTAACAGATATGTTATCTTAACTTATTTATTTTAATGTTAAAAAAGTAAAAATATTTATCATAATTCATAACATCATTAAACATTCGGATCAATTTATTTAAATATGTTGGTATGTTAAGTTATTTTTATAATGGCGTCTATGAAAATATTTTTTTAATTGTTACTCAAAAATGTTGTAATTTATTCTAAAATATAATTTTTATTAGGTATTAAGTAATTATTGTTATATTTTTTGCATGAAAAAGACATAATAAGTTAATTTAAAAAGTAATACATTTAACTTATTAATAACATATATGGTAAAAAGAACCTTTTGTTGATGGCTTAGAATAAAACAATTTAGTTTATTTTGCTTGTTAATTTATTAACTTATAAAGAGATTATTTGTTTTTATTTATTGTATATTAATTGATATACAAATAAAACAAACAACTAGAACGTGATGTTGCCATTACCCTTTGGGTACTTGTGTCACTTTACTCACCTTGGCCTAGAATATTGTTACATTAATACTATATTATAGCTAGAAAGTAATGGTAAATCAACGGTTATTGATAAATTTTGTACATTTTTAGATCTGAAATTTCAAAATTAAAACGAACAATTATAAATAATATCTAAAGTGGCTACTGTTTAATAAATATAATGAGTTTGAAAAACTTAGATTTTAAAATTAATTAATTAATCAAAATTACTGATGTATATCCATTTTATAAAATAAAATAAACTATTAATAATTTTCGACGGTAACTATGACTTAGAGATTTTTGCTTCAATAAATTGATAACGAATATTATTGTTTAACACAAAACTGGAATATCTGGGTAAGTTTTAAATTGTCTCGCTATTGAATTAACGATTATACATTGTAGAATAGAGGTGCTGGATCGTTCTCAGATAAAATTAAAAATAATTAATTTTTAATTCTTGTGTAGATAATAAACAATATTGAAAATATTAATAATAATATTTTTATTGAAAAAAAAACATTTTGTACGACGGCGGTTTATATATGCAATTCTAATACAATATTATATGTGTCAAAACAAAAATATGTAATCATACAGACGTTATATCATGTTGTGACTTTTTATTGTAGATTAACACATATTTAATTTAATGATTATACTCATTATTTATTAAAGTCCGGTTAGGTTAGACTGCACTGTTTGTTGAAATATTTTTTCAATTGCGAATTTACATGAACAGTGTGTCCTGTAAAGTCTTGTTTATAAACAACGAATTTCAACGATTCTCGAACCACAAGAATTTAAATATAATTTGTGGCTATATTTATATTATTAAATTTGACATATATAAATTTGATATATATTGTAGTTCTTTAATAAATTTAGCTGTACGAACAAATTACTTGTAGATATTCTAATTTTAATTTAAAATATTATAAAAGATTATCGGGTATTATTTAACGAGTTAAAGAATGATTATTATTTTAATTCTTGAAAAGTATATAAACTTAATAGTTATGTTGAAATGGAATAAAAAATTATTTTTTTGATCGGTTTATTAATCATAAAATAAATAATAATCTATTATTTTGTGTCTAGTATAAGAGATGATAGGTTACACGTTTGGTCAATTAATCATGTTAGATCTAACATAGGCTACGGCATAGGTACGCTATATGCATAATATATTATTATGGAATTTTGTTAATTTATCTATTTATTTCATGATTATCTAGTGGTTTCAATTAACTGATTAGTCGTGAATGTTTTGATAAAAAAGATAACTTGCAAATGCGTACTGTAAAATTAATTTTCTTAGTGTATTGTCCAACTTATGAGGTAAGTGTAAGTGAAGGTGTAAGTACAGTATTTACTTTTAACAACATTGCAGTCTACAAAATAAGTTAACTACTATAACATTATTTTTATGATATGTTTTGTTACTTGATAAAATTTAAAATAAGCATATGGACGTATAGTGCTTTAAAATAATTAGTGTTTATAATTTTCATAACAATAATTGGACTATAATATGTAATATGGCTATAGTTAAAAAAGGTTTGCTGAAAACTATCTATACATAAATGTATAAATGCAATACACAATAATTGTTGTAATTATACGATGAAAATGAATATTAAGTACATGTTATATAGTATACAGGATCGACATATTTCTATTAGTAATTTATGGTTATTTACTCATGAAATATTGAAATAAAATAGTAGGAAAATATTACATTCTATTAACTTATTTTTTGTTTAAATGAAGACAATATTTGTTAAAATTGCATATAATTATATAGAACTGTTCATATTTAATTTCCAACATTTGTAGGAATAATTAAAAAAAACTATAGTTTTATGTATGAGGATTTAATAATAAATATTTATTTTTGTGAAACTACTGATATTGATAAATTTATTCCTTAATTCTTTTATTTAGTCGCATTGAAATTATTTATAGAATGTTTGTGAAAAATTTATGCTTAATTTGTTTTTAGCCTCAAATTTGTCCCCAAAGTGAGCAAAATAAATTCATTTCAATATACGAAAGATAAATATATTTTAATTTTTAGAATTTTTCTACTATTCTTTGGAGGAAAATAATATTGATCTGTTTTTCGGAAATTGTGAAAAAAAGTTTTATTTCAATGCAAAAAGCGTGCGTCTACAATTATAATTGGTAGAAACATAAGTTGAGATATAGCAATTATCATAATCATGCTCCAGAAACTAGTCCAGCTCCAATTTCTATTGCAAGTTCTGTATTAAAAGGTAAATAACAAAATTAATTATTTATATTTTTATTTAATAATTATTTTTTTAAGAGTATTTTAGTAATTGAAGTTTAACTTAATAATTCTAAGATACAGCTCGGTCTATAACACATAAATAACCGTCACAAATTATTTAATCTGAACAATCCAACGTTTTAGAGAATATAAAACTTCATTTTCTCAGTTACGATACACTACGGATTGGCCTGATTTAATTA